GCTCGCATCTGAGGCGCCGCGGGGCGCCTGAGAGCCACGGCCCGCGGTGCGATCTGGGCATGCTTGCAGGTGGGCGTAGCGAGGAGAGGTGATCGATGCAGCTGTGATAGCTGAGGTGCCAAAGCGCCGTCCGCAGTTAGGCCCAGCGTGCGCGCTCACCGTCAGGCCCGCAGCAGAGCGCGCGACGCCACGAAGCATCCTGGCGGCAGCAGCTCGCGCAAACATGCACTATTGCAAGAGAGTAGCAGGCAATGCCCCAAGAACAATGACGAAAAGGCCGCTTGGCCAAAATAGGCCTGGTGGCGAGCGGCTCTCGAAGCCTCTTTCCGAGGCTGGTAGGAGGTCAGAGGATGCCGGTGGTTGCCTTGATGGCCACAAGCAATCCGCATAAGATCCCTGCACCCACGCGCCTAGACCTGCCAATGTCCGACAGCTGCCATTCGCATGGCACCCTCTGGCCGGCGGCTGCACTGTTTTGTTACCAGCAATCTGCTTTAAAACCTGCCTTGATGACCCCCAAAACACCCAAAGACAGATTAAATCCTTTCATTACTCCTTTGCCAGCGCCCAGAGCCTCATGCGCGCGGTCAGAGGCTTGTGCCGCTCATCCTCGCTGCTCTCATCCTCGTCGCTGTCGTCATCGCTGCTGCTGCTGCTGCGCCCACCTCCGCCTCCACCTGCGCCCCCGTCGCCGCCGCGCATCCAATCGACAGCCTGCGGCAAAAGTATGACGGACACTCAAGCAAAGGGAACAGTGACTCGGCAAAGCCGTTGGTTTGACCTTGGTTTGACCAAGGTCAGACGTGAGCATCAATGAAAGACGCACCAAACCCAGATCAATACAGGCCCCACAACCAGAAAATCCTAACTTGCCCTCAGAACCCACCTGCTCTGGACTTGGATACGAAATTGACAGCCTCGACTCCCGCCCCCGCCCCCGCCGCTGTCGACCAGAGGGCCGTGCTGCTACGCTGCCACGCCCGCCCACACCGCCTCCGCTGGCCATCTCCTTCCACAGCAGCCGTCCATCCGCTATAACGCGGCAGGCCCTCCACGGCAAAAGGGCGTGACGGCGCTCTGCCAGGGCCCAGCAAAGGGCGGCAGCGCGTGTGAGAAGGGGCGCGCACTGCATGCAGCTCATGCGCAACCCCAAACGCACGCCGGAAAGGGTGGGCCAAAGCAGGCGAGCTGTTCCTTGAGCAAAATAGGGGCCAACTCACCTGCCGCGAGTTCCCGAAACAGCGCCGCCAGCTTGTCAGCACCCAGCTGCTGACCAGCAACTGCCAGCCCCCCGCTTTCTGCAGCTTCTCCAACTGCCGTGGCCAGGCCCAAGGCCGCCTCGGCTGCAGCCACACGCGCTGCGCCCCTCCGTTCAAACACTCGCAGCACCGCGTCGGCCCATAGACCTGCATCTGCTGCCACCATACCCCGCCATGCACGGCACACGCATGCTGCGCGCCCCAGTGACAAAGGATCCAGTGACCCAAGAATCACTTGGGTGACCTCGTCGGGTACGTCTACAAACGTGAGTTCCGCCTCCTCATCTTCCAAATCATCACCATCTGATGCTGCCCCTCCCAATTTGTCGTTGCTGCCGCCGCCGCCGCCGCCGCCACTGCGCCGCCGCCGCTCCCTGTGGGCGGCCAGCCCGGCACGCTTTGCCTGTCCAAGCAGCTGCGTGCGCCGCTGCTGCGGTAGCGCGCGCCCGGCCGCGTCGACCGCAGCGGCTTGCGCCTGGCGGACAGATTCGCGTCTGGGGAAAGGGCACACAGGCGCGAATGGGGCGAATGGGGTGGGTGTTTGCAGCTGCACACGTTCTGCAAGTGACTGGATAAGGTGCATGCACCTGTGCCGGTTGAAAAGTAACCCCCGCGCCGGGCAGCCGGCGTGCCCGATGAGAACACTGCAAAAAATGTTCGGCGCGGCGCCCGCTTCGCATACGTGCAACGCAGGCGCCGCAGCAAGCCGGCGCCCCGCACGGCCCCAAACGCACCCGTCTGTCAGCCGTGCCGCCGCCATGAGGTCCTCAAAAATGGCCCCCTGCAGCTTCTTATCCGAACTCCGATACTCTTCCTGCACCACCACCCGCAGCTCCTGCAGAGCGCGCGCCCGCAGGTTCCTGGTGCGGGTGGCATGGACAGGGGAGGGGCCAATTGTGAGCGGTACGACAGCGAAGCACGCACTGTGCATGCATGGCCGATCGCCGGACTGCCGCAGCACACACATGCTCAGCATGCTGGGCGCATGCTGCTCCCACCTGTTGGCGAGCCCACCGCAAATGTCTGCAGCGGCGTAGCGCTCTAGGCGCAGGCACCCGGCGCTCTCGTCGCCGCTGCTGTCGTCGCTGCTGTCGCTGATGCGCGGGGGTTGCCGGCTAAGTTGTTGCCGCCTAATTCGCGGTGGCATGGCCTTACCCCAGCGTCAAGTGCGTGGATGAAAATGTGATTTTGAGAAATTAATTTGAATGGTCGGTACACGACGTGGTTGGTATTCTCTTGCTGCTATCAAAATTCTAAAGGCAACAATTGATCGCAGGACCGACAAAACGGAGAGGTTACTTGGCTGATCTGCTGAAGTGACACGGGTCTATTGAGGGGCTTTGGGCACGCCATGGATGTGGATCCAACAACAGGACCCAGGTGAATGCCTTACACGCTGCCTAGAGTCCTTCGCTGTGCTCTCTCACGAATGCATGGGCCGCCCAAGCACAACAGCAGCTGATGCAGGCCCACGCACCACGAGACCAGCTGCAAACGGCGCGCACCAACCGTATCACACCGTGTTGTATGCAGTACAAGTGGCAGCGGCGGCGGCGGGCAAAGCGCTGCCGATGCCACTGGCTGCTCTGACCGGACGCGCTTCATAGTCGAACTGGAGTTCATGCAGTGCCTGGCCAACCCATTCTACCTCAATTGTGAGGGGGCATGGCGCCTGGTCGCTTGTGCTGCTATTGCTGCCGTCTTTGCATGGCTGCGGGAGCAACAAATGGTGCACTGCAATGACAGGCCCACCTGATTGTGCAAACACACCGGCCTCTCACAGGGCCGTGTCGGGTCACCTGGCCCCGCTGCAACCCCGCTGTGACTCAGCTGCCGAGCGATGATTTGCAAGCACTCAGTTGCACCGCGCAATCCCTGTTGCTGCGTCTGTACAGGGCTCGCTCAGAATCGATACCTTGAAGATCCAGCTTTTCTGAACTATCTACAATACCTGGACTACTGGCGGCGGCCAGAGTACGCTGTCTACATTAAGTGAGGAGCGGCTCCGGGGGCCTGCTTTGACTTTGGCTTTGAGGGAGGGTAGGCGAGGGCAAGAATTGGGTGAATGTGCATGCAGGGGCGGGTGTGGTTGTATGCCTGGCTGGACCGCACCTGCGCCCGGACGCAAAGCGCTGCGCCCGGCTGGTCGCGCCAGCCGTGTCCACGCCATGCCGTGGCAAGCTGCGCTCTTCGCATGGCGTATGCTTCGCCTCGTCGTGTCCTGCTGCATGCCAAACCCGCCTGCTTCCTCTCACCCACTTTCACCTATTCTATGAACCCCCAAAGGCACCCCCACTGCCTGCTGATGCTGGACCTCCTGCGAAGCGAACGATTCAGGAAATCCATCGCGGTGGTGCAGGTCGCGGTGAGCCGGCTGCATCCTTTGGTGCTGCAATCTTCCTGGTGATCTTCACAGCGGTCTGATGTGCTGGCACAAGCACACACCAGCACGCCACTCCATGTGGCTGCTCCGCTTCAGCACGCAGCCCACCTCCGCGGCCAACCTGTGCTCGGCATTCCTGTTGCCCCTGTGCGCTCCACGTCGGCGCCACAACTCTTTGACCGTATAATGCCCGCCCCCCACCCACCTGCATGGAAACACGCACCCCTTCAGGACGACATCCACACCCAGCAGTTCTACCATTGGCAGCACTACCGGTCCAACCGGGTCAAGGAGGGCACCGCTGCGCTGGAAGGGCCTGCGATAGCTGCAGGTCCTGCAGGTACTGCCGCAGCAGCAGCAGCAGCAGCAGCAGCAGTGGCGGGCGGCAGCTGAGTGTGTGCTCAACTAGGGCGCGACGCCTGGAAACTTCAGGGGCGCGTGTGGCTGCAGGCACACATCCGCGGCACATGTTCGCCGAGGCGCGTCCTGCAAATGTGCAATGCCTCGTGTGCACTCGAGGTTCACAACCGACCTAGTAATGGATGTCGGAAACCACGGCGCTGCTGCTGGCGTCCATGTGGCTGCTGCATACGTGTTAACTCCTCGCTACCGCTTCACTCCGCATGCAATCCCCTCCCTTTGTCCTGTCGCATCGCCGCCTGTACTCTTCAATCTCTTGCCCCTGCTGTGTAATCATTGTTGCGCAACCACTTGGCCAGAGAGTGGACTAAAAGCGCGTGGGCGCACTGGATTCGTGACAAGGCCACGCAGCAGGACTCTTTATCACAAAAGGGAATGCAAATCCTGTGCATGCGCAGTCAAGGGGCGGTGCCGTCACTGTTGCTCCGCATCCCCTCCGCCCATTTTGGCGCTTCACTGATTGATTCCTGCCGTTCCCCCCAGCTCCAGACATATCTCCTTCCAGGGCAATATCCACGCGCAGAACCTCATTGTTGGCAGCTAGCAGGTCAAGAAGGGCACCACGGACCATCTTGCTTGGCGTCGCTCAGCGGCACTGTCCACAGCACGAGCAGAGCGGCATGGTGACAACGCATCCACTTTCCAATGGCAACGCTGTACTTGCGGTGATGTATACTTACGATACGTCAAATTACTGCGTAAATTAATCAAGTGTGCTTTCTGCTGTGCTTGCAGGCAGAGTCAAATCATCCAAAGCGCTTCGTGGCTGCAGCAGCGTCAAGTCATAACGAGGCACCAGTGCATGTGCATGACGACGTGAATCTTGGATTTTCGAACCCATTGTGTGCCGCGTGCATCAGGCCGACGACCACGCCGCCATCTGCAGCAGCAGCAGTGCGCGCGCTGCACAAGCGAGCCCGACCCTGAAGCCAGGCACCATGGACGCAATCGCAGACGGGGCGCACCGGCTCTGGCGCGTGATCAACGCCCGTGCGCAAGCGGCGCAGCGCATGCGCCAGGCCCCGGACGAGACAGACGTGGTCCCGTGCATGCCCATGCCCACTGTGCGGTTTAATGGCTCCAAGCTGGCCAGCCTGCTGAATGGCCTCGCCCCGCACGGCGCCGAGGCCGGCTCCCTGCCGCCCGCGGCGCAGCGCATGCAACGCTGCAGCAGCGGCGAGGCGACGCTGCTCACGTCGGCGGGGCCCGTCAGCCCCAAGAGGGTCCCGGGGGTGTGGGCGCCGGCGGTGACGCCGTTTGGGGCCGGGCTGCAGCACCTGCTGCACAGGAACAGGCGGCACGAGCCACCAGCGTGGCCAGAAATGCCAAAGAAGCAACGGCAGGTTGCTGAGGAGCAGCAGCAGCAGCAGCAGCAGCAGCAGCCGGACCAGGGGCCCCCATGCACTGGCGACACCGGCGGCGGGGGAGGCAGCGATGCCACGTGTTGGGTGGAAATCACGGGCCCTGAGCTGGATAGGATCATGCGCGGCACAGCAGCCCTCCACCTAGAAGCCCACAAGGCACACGCGGCTGTGGCGGCCAAAAAGCAGCGCGCCGCAGAGGCCGAGGCTCGGCGCCGCGAGCGCGGCACGAGCGCCGACGTCGCGGCGGCGCTGCAAGAGCTGCGGCGCGCGCACGAGGCTGCGGGCGGCGCTTGCGGGGGCGGCAACGGCGGCGGCGGTTTTGGCTACGTAGGCGTGTCGGCGGCGGACAAGGCGCGGCTGCTGGCGGCGGCGAAGGAGAGGCAGCTGGCGGCGGTGGCGGCGGTGCAGGACCCTCCGAAGGAGTTTGTTGAGGTGAGGCCGGACACTTCACCCAGGCCGCCTCCGGGCCCATGTCATGCTCTGTCCCATTTTCCAGGGGGTCAAAGGGTGTCCGGCAGCACGATCGGCACCTCGAGCCGTGGGCTTCTTGCGCTGACCTGACCCACCGTTGCCCAGCAATCAGGGGACGGCCTCCCGGCCAGCCTGGTGTGGTGCATGCGGCCGCACTCAGCCCATTTCCATGGTGTAATCATTGGTGAAAACCGCTCGCCTGCCCGCAGGATTACTACGACCGCATCGGCGAGGAAATGCATGCCGCAAATGAGCAGCTAGCCGTCAGGTGTCTGTCGCGCAAGGGCAGCGCCGCCGGTGGCGGCTGCGCCCTCGGCGGCGCGGCTGGAGAGGAGGGGCTTTGGGCCGGGTTTGGGGAGGAGGGCGGGGAGGAGGGTTTGGGCGGGAAGGAGCAGGAGGAGGAGGAAGAGGAGGGCCTGCCTGAGTGGGCGTGATGCTGGGGGTGACGGATCGCAGGGCTCTGCGTTGCGTCTGGGTGCGGCACCGCCGATGACGGAGGGTCCAAGGCGCGGATGCCGCGGGTCCGTCGGTGGCATCCTGGAAACTGCCCACTGCAATTCGTTTTTGGTTGCTCGACCATGGGTCCTGGCGCTCTATGCTTTGTAATGTGAGTGTCACTGCGAGCCGGTCTCTTTGCTTTTCTTGTCATCACTACGTTGACCACAAAGCAACTCCTTACACAGTGCAAACAACTGTGAACCCGGACCAGCATCAATAGGGGAAAATGCAGTCAGACTCTTGGCGTCTTGACACGTTGGGCAACATGGTGATGAGTTTTCAAACAGCGGCCTTAGAAAAATGTGAGCGCAGCCATTCTGATGGGCCAGGCGTCGCACTTGTGCAGGTTAAATAATGCTATGGAAACGCGAAAAGCACCTCGAGAATCTGGCCAAGGCGGCGGCGACTTGCACACAGGCCATGCGCACTGCAGAGACGGTGCAAATCCTAGATAACACTAATGACAAAAAAACTGTCGATGGTCAGCTTGTAAAAGCCTGTTATGGTGTCTGCTTCGGCCTGACCGCACCCCCACTTTGCACATCCATGTTCTTCCCTTTGGCACGTGAGGGTCATCAGATGGTGGTGTCGCGCCTGGCAGTGCCGGCAAAGCTACGACAGGCCCAGCGCTCCAAGGCACGCAGCGCAGCTCCTCACAACGGAGCCACTGCCAGCTGCAACCTTGCAGGCTGCAGGCCCGACCCGACCGGCAACTGAGGCCAGACTGCTGCCTCCTGCTTCAGCCCGCCGCGCCACCGGAGTGCGTCCCAGGCGCACGAGCGCGCCCCTGCCACGGGCCCTGCTGTCGGTCACAGGTTGGCGGTGCGGGCGGCGGACAGCTGCCCATAAGCTGTGAGGACGCCCCTGACCTGGATGTCCACAACTAGGTCCCCATCGTACATGCTCAGGCGCCTGTAAAGGTTGACCGTCGAGCACAGCATTGAGAGCGTCCCGGGGGCAGAGGCGTCGGCTGTAATGATGCACCCGTTGCCGGCCAGCGTCTCGGGCGCGAGGGGAGAGTCGACCGACAGGCTGCGCGGGCCGGTGATGTGGACGGTGCCGTCGGTCGCGCGGACGCGCAGGGGGGATGAGGCGTCGGGGGCGGAGATTGAGCCGTTGGACTCGAACACGCCCTGCAGGCAGCCGTAGGGGTTGGGTGTCGGTCGTAGGGGGCGTGAGGTGGGGTGGCGGGCGCGGATCAGCCTGCAGAGCTGCGGCTACTCAAGCTTGCATTTCAAACCTAAACCGCACCTGCATGTCAGCCAAGTCCCTGAAGTGAAAGGGCTCACATGTGCACAGCCGAGGGTCGCACACACGCACACACACACACATACGCACACACACACACACACACACACACACACACGCACACACACACACAGACGCGGTTCATGCACACGAAACAGCACGTGTGCCGCCGCCCACCTTGAAGCCGAGGATGTCGATGTTGGCCAAGTTAGCGATGCGCGCTGACATTAGCGCAACCCTGAAGCCACTGGGGGCAACTGGTTGCAGACGCGACGAGGGCAGGGCTACAGCAAGGCCTGCCGCCGTGGGGCACGCACCTACACACCCGCGCGCAGGCGTGCAGCAGAAGTCAAACATGGGCTGTGCTTTTCGCAAAACAAGCGGCCATAGCATGAACGCCGAGAACCCAGCAGGAGCAGCAACGGCATTCTGAGGCGTACTGTGCACGAGTTGCAGCCGCTAGGCTCGGCTGGGTGCATGCCAGGGCTTTGGTGTGTGCGATAGAGAGCTTTGTTGCGAAAGGCGTTTGCTTACCGTCAAAAACAAGCGATGCGTTCCCAGCAACGCCAGCGACGGCTGCACGCAGAGTTGGCGTGAAACCAGGAGGGGGGGGGAGTCGTGGGCTGCTTGATGATCAAGATGCTTCATCACATCTGAAAGTACTGAGCATGCCGGCCTGTGCACTAGACACATTTAAGTCATTCAGGCAGGGCCTCATGATTGTTAAACGCGACACGGAGTGACATGTTTGCATGTGACGTTGCATTCTTGGAGGACCCAGCGGCGAGTGACGCCCTCACGCGCAGGGCCGAGAGCATCAGGCTGCTTGGGCTGACTCACTCGTGTGCCTGATGGCGATGGGCACTGGGTCCGAATGCAGCTGCCCGCCAAGAGTAAGCGCCGCCGTCTGAGGGCCCGTTTGAAATATCAAATCAATGATGCACGCCGGTTTGGCTGCGGCGCCGCTGAAGGCTGCTGACAGCACTAGCATCATGAGCGCGGGCCATTGGCGCGCGGGGGCCATTGGGATTGCCTGCTGGCGCTGTAAGCAAACTAACTGGTTCTAAGGGTACAAAAAGTGTGATGGCTGTACAGTCCTAGGAGCCGAATCGCGAGTGGGCGAACGCGCTCTTTTCGGAACTTGGTTTGCGGCTCGTTGTGAGGGTAATCGCCAAGAGTTCAGCTTTGAGTGTTCTAATGATTACAAAAATCTCATATCAGCCGGTTACTCGAGGGCTAGGCGCGTTTGAAAACTGCCGTCAGGGTGGACACAGGAGCGCACACTTGCTGCGTCACTGGTCGTCGAGGCACCAGGGGCTAGCCCAAAAGGTAATGGGCCTAGCAGCATAATGACCAACGTGAGGGATCATTCTGGACGCAGTAGACTGCTGGCGAGCGTAAACGCAGCCATCCAACATGCCAGAGAGATTGCAGGCTTCCTTGTGAAGAGCTGAACGAGCGAGCTACTGCTAAATGCCAAAGCTGGCACTGCCTGACACAGACGCACCTCGTGTGCAGTGAAAAGGCAGCAGTTACACACCGATACTGGCAGCAGCACCCACGGGGCAATCAAAACATCTGTCATGCAGGCACAAACTGCAACCACCGGCCAGTGTCTATGATTGAAGAGGTGGAGCATAGCGTTCTTGACACTGGGTATATTGGTGCTGCAAGTCACTGTAGCACCTCGGTGCAGAATGTCATGTGCAATAACAGGAGTTGCTAAGCTACTGTGCCGTAATGAGCACATTGCCGGTTTCAAATCTGTGGAGTGTACAGGTGGCATCAAGCCGGCCGTGAAAGGTTGTTGCTTGTGCTTTGGCTTGCCTCTTTGAAGCTGCAACGGCGACTCACGAGCAACTGCTGCCGGCGTGGCGCCACAAGTGGTGGCCATAAGCACTATGCAGCTGCGTGGCCGAAGTCAAGACGCCGTCGAGGCCTAGAGAGCCACATCAACGGAGAGAGCCACAATTGCATACACAACCTCGAATGGTGCGCTCGGCCCTTGCCGCTGCCAGAAAGCCTGAGCTTGAGCTGCACTCTCAAAATTGCAGCGGGCGCCGAAGCTCGCTGACCGCGCACGCGGCCGTGCCGCCGCTCAGACATTCAGTATCTTCGCGGAAGCCAGCGTCCCGAGCGCGGTCAGCGGGCCCTTGACCGCGATGTCTGCAGCGATGCCCTCGGTCTCTATGCGCCGCGTGAGCTCGGCGTTGGGGCAGTCCAGCCGTATCTGCCCGGCGGCCGCGGGGTCGGCGGTGAGCCTGCAGCCGGCGCCGGTCATGACCTCGGGCGCGAGCTGCGCGGTGCGCACGCGGCCCGTCTTGATCCTGGTGATGTTGACGGTGCCCGACGTCGCGCGGACGTTGAATGGAATCGTGCCGTCCTTCGGGTTCACGGGGCCGGTGGACTCAAAGACGGCCTGGAATTGGGCAACCGAGGAGGGGTGGGACGGCGGCGGCCGCGAGCAGGTTGATGAGAGTGTTCGTTGGGCGCCTGCAAGGAGCAGCCTGTGGTGTCTGCATTACATGTCATGCCATTTCTTGATACTGCTCGTCCTCTCATAAAACAAACAAGCTCCTTGCGCCAACACTCTCCCTCCTTTCCATCACTTTCCATGTCTTCCTCTCCCCAATCCTCAGCACAGCCCTACCTGGAAGTCATTGCAGTCGACCTTGGCAATGCTCCAGATGCGCGACTCCATGAGCCCGGTGCGGATGCCAGATTTGGGGGTCACCGGAGAGAGGCTTGCGGACAGCAGGGCCGCGGCCAGGCCGCCGGCAGTGGGGCAGGCGCCTGGTGGGCCGCGAGGCAAGGTGGCGGCGAGGGCACGGGGATGATGCCCCCGAGGACTAGTGACCGGCGGCTGCGTCAACATGCATCACAACATTTGAGTCTGACGGATCCTTGCGCCCAATTTCAAGGCACCAGCAAGAGCACACACCACTACAAAAGCTGCGGTCTGGCTCGTTTGGCCAACCTGCCAGCCAAGTGCAGATGCCTTTCCCCTGTGCTGCCCTTGCGCTGCCAGCTGAACTGGCGGGCACTCAACGGTTGCCTGCACAGGCCTCTTCGCGCTGTCCCTTCATGGGGAGAGGTGCAGCGCCGGCGTTCCAGTGCTCTCACCGTCAAACACGACTGTGGCGCTGCCGGCCACGCCTGCAACCGTGACAGGCTTGATGCCGACCTGAAGGTGATGCAGAATCATTCGGGGTTTGGGGAGATCAGATGCAGTCCAAGGCAAGGCGGCGAGGGCTGCGTGAACAGCATGATTTATTGGCATCACCTTGGTGATGCGCGCTGCGGTGGGCACGAGCTCACGGTGGTTTGCAGCGGCCACAGCAGAACCACAACGACAGCGACTGGGTGCCATCGGCCAGGCGCACACCTTGGCAGGCTTGATGACCTTCCCGCCAACCGCCAAGGCGGCAGTCTTGGGACCTGTGATGAATTTTAGGTCCACCGCGCACACCGTCTTGGCCGCGGCGCCTCCAAGGAGCATCGAAAGCACCGCCGCAACAGCCAGGAGAGTGGGCGAGCGCGCCATCGTTGCAGGGCAGCTCAGCTCGCTGTCGAAAATCGTCAAATTTGCTTAGAAATATGGTATTCAGTCGTTTACGTGAGGAGCCCGGGCGCTAATTGGATGACGGGGTTGAAACAGTCCCGGCTCCCGGAAGCCGGCGGGTGATACCGTACTCTATCGAACGGTACTGTGCTGTTGTGAAGTGATTGCTGCATAATTGGTTTGCTATCATAAATCGCGCAAGCGGGGTTGCGTTCCATTGTGGACGTGTGTAGTTTGGGCCAGAGTTGGGCACGGTCTCGTCAACTTCCAGTCTCACGGGCACGTCAACCGGTCTTGAGGCTACCCAACCCGGCAGCGTCAATGCATAGCAGCATCACGGCTTCAGTTGCAAGACACCTCAGCCCTCGCATACCTAGTGGGCGCTCCTCCAGTCCTACGTACTCATGTGTGCACTGCCGGCATCGCCGCGCCGAGCCTGAAACCCAGATGGCTCCCACTCAGCTGAAGCAAACGTCCTGCGTGTCTATATCTGTCAAGTTCTACGCACTCACAACAGCAGGCGTGCCGGTACGGGTGGGCGCACAACAGGCACTGCCTCGTCTGACAAATGAGGACCCCCGATCAATTGACGATTTCCTGCCCTTGCAAGGCCCTTCCTTCCAATGCCTCAATCACTTCCCTCATCAAACTGCAGCATGCGGCTTTGTGCTTTGCCATGAACTCAACAGGCAGTAATGACATGGTCAGTGGTCATCAAAAGCAAGTGCACTTGCCTGATATTTGCGCACGGGCTGCACTCGTGCTTCGCCATGATGCTGCGTGCGCAGGATTCCCCCCTCCATAAGAAGAGTATGAAGTGTTGATTTGTAGCATAATCAGTCATCTAGTGTGGCTCTGAAAGCCAGTGGCTGCTATCGGCAGCTGGGACTGCCCTGCGCCTGACTCACCAGCAGCTAGTTGTCACCCGTGCAACCGACAACCCCATCCAGCGAGTGCCTGCTGAACAATTCTGCTCCTATCCTTGATGTCTCCAATCGAGCTGTGTTCACGTGCACAGTATAAAGCCGGATAGGGCGAGGCCATCGGCAAGCCTGATCTCTCTGACAGTGAGCCGTCCAAGCGACAGGAAAGGTGGGCACATCGGAGAACTGTGTTGGCTCAGCTTCGTGCTTGATTCTGAGCGGGGTCGTTCCGGGGTGCTTGGTTTGCAAGTTGCAACCATCAACTTTGCGCACTTCATTTGAGCCAGCTTAGCTTACACACAAAGTAAGGTGAGAAGCCAAGGATGACCGCTGCGGGTCCAAAGCGCGCGTCTGCAGCTCACCCGTCCGCGATGCGCCACTGCGAACCGACGCAAAGCTGCGCTTGCGCGATGGCCACTCCGCCTGTCAGGCTCAAGCCGCCATGCGGCGGCGCGCGGCGGCCCTGGCGTTGGGCCTGCTGGTGCTGTGCGGCTGCATGGTCGGCTCTCTGCAGCAGTCGGAGGCGGACGCCGCGGACGAGCCCGAAACCGCGGCGCCGCCCGCGGAAGCAGCCGAGGCGAGCTCCGCCGAGCGCGCGGCGCCGTCAGCCGCAGCGAAGGCCGCAACGGCGCAGTCGAGCGCGGGCGCCAAGGCAGAAGAAGCTGCTGCTCCTGCCGCAGCTGCTGCTGGGGAACAGGCGCCAAAGGCAAAGCAGCAGCCTGCAGTTTCCAAGGGGACGAGCCAGGCTGCGTCTCAGGCCAAGGGTGACGCAGCCGCGGCACCCGCGCCCGCGCCCGCGGCAAAGGCCGCCCCCAAACCGAAGCCGGCGGCCAAGCCAACACCGGCGGCAGTCCCGGCAGCCGCGGAAGGCGGACAGCCACCCTCAAAAGGCGCAGAGGCGGCCCCTGGGCCGGAGCAAGTGGCTGCACCAGAGCCTCAGCCGGAGCGCGTGGCGGCTGCGGAGGATCAGCCGGCGCCCGCCGCGGGGGAGGAGGAGGAGCAGCCGAAGCGGCAGGGCCCGAAGCTGCTGCCGAAGAAGGTGCAGGTGGTGGCGGCCGCGCCCGAGGCGGAGGTGGAAAATGACGACGACATCGACCCCCAGGGTGGGTGCCTGCCCCCTGTGCAACCAGGGGAAATGGGTTGGTGGGGGGGGGGAGAGCGGCGGCGGCGCAGCCTGTTGAGCGAAGCGAGGGGCAGCGGGATTTGAGGGGATGTGTGCGGACAGGATGGCCGATGGGAGGTGGGCTGCGCGAGAGCTGCGTGAACCCGGCGTCCCCTTGCGCCTGCGCAACCGCCACGGCTGCTGGCGGCGCGCGGCGCGTTTGCGCATCGAACCCAGCAGCGGCGACCCCTGACCGCCCTCCGCCCCGCTGCTGACGCCCGCGCCGCGGCTCCGCGCGTGTGCTTGTATTGTTGTTGACCAGGGGATTGCGCGGACTTCATACCCTCGTCCTCTTGCAAGGACGTGGACTTCGGGGATGGGCGGGTCGCGGAGTGCCTCAGCCAGATCATAGCGGCGGCAGAGGCGGCAGACACAGAGGCGGAGGGAGGTGAGGCGGCGGGGGGTTGTCGTGTGAGTCATGTGTTTGTCATGTGTGTGTGCGTTTGTGTGTGTGTGCACGTGCGCGTGTGAGCGTTTTTGTGGCAGGGGGTTGTTTGCATTGGTGATCTCGCGCCCACCATGGCTGGTGGGTTCGAATGTGAACGTATGCACGTGCGCTCGGTCGCATGTTTGCAGCCGCGCACGTTTCAAGGGCACGTCGCGCGGTCCATGGCGCCACAGCAACCACCCGCCGCGCCATGGCCACCGCTGCTGCATGCCAGCCGCCCCTCGGCTGCCTAGGGCATCAGAGCCCACTCGCCCGCCTGCCCAAGCGCACACCCCCCCACCCCGCGCCCCACCACCGACCGCGCGCCGCAGAGTCGGTGCCAATCGCCTGCGCCTCGGAGCTCGCCACATTCTTCATAAAGCGCTCCAAAAACATCAACGCAAACGTCCCCTTGGGTGAGCCCACGCCTCTTCCACGCCAGTGGCCGGCGCAGCCGCAGGGTTTGCTGCTGCCGCGGTCAAACATGGTCAACGGGAGTCCAGGCGTCGGGCCCGCTGCACTGTGTTTAACAACACCTGGTGTCGACGCGTGCTGGCACCCGACCTCCTCCTCTCCCTTGACATTGTGCCGGCTGCAGGCCTGGCGCCCTGCGTGCCCCACCAGGCCCTCCGGCTGGTGGGCACCGCGCCATCCATAACCCTCGGTGCCACCGCCCCCGTCCCCCCCACCCGGCCCCTGCAGCGCGCGCGTGCAAGGCTGACGCCGAGCGGCTGTGCAACAACACATACTTGTTCGGCGGGAAGACAGAGGGGCAGGTCATCTCCTGCCTCAAGTGAGGGCGGGTCCCTCTTCCCAGCGACGCACCGCGCCCGCCCCGGCGTCCTCGCAAACCTCGGCCCTCGCGGCGGCCTGCCAGCCGTGCGGGCGAGCGGGCCGCCGCACGCGCGCCGCCGCCGCCTGCCGCGCACGGCGACGCTGGCCCTGCTCACGCCCCTGAATTGGCGAGCTCCCGCCCCGCACATATGTGATCCAACATCACATCACGTCGCATGACATTACATGACATGACTATGACTGATTGCATCCAAGCATCTACCCTACCCCATCCACTCGGCTCATCAAAGCGCAATGCGATGATTCTCCTCGTACCGCCCATGACACAAACCCATCAAGCCGTGGCACCGCTTTCCCGCCCATCCCACCCACAACAGGGACTCCAAGGACCGGGTGTCACCCGGGTGCCGCGCCCAGCTGTTCAGGATGCAGCTGGCGGCCGCCAACGACTACAGGGCCGACCCCGCCCTCAACGCCAGCTGCAGCGCCGACGAGGAGAAGCTGTGCAAGGG